TTTGGGATGCGGTAGGGGGAGGGGAGATTTTGAAACTTGTGAAATCCTGCACATCCTGTTCACCTGCACATCTGCCAATGTGGTATACTGCATCCGCTGTACCCGGTGTGGCTTCCACTACATCGGGGAAACCAAGCGGAGACTCGGGGACCGCTTTGCAGAACACCTACGCTCGGTTCGCAATAAACAACTGCACCTCCCTTGTGAAATCCACATTGATGCCATTGGGCTGCAGGGTTCCCAAGCGGAATATGAGTTGCTGTTCCTGCAACCTTCGGGTGGCATCGTTGTGGCACTGCAGGAGGCCCAGGATGGACATGTCGTATGAGGAATGGGAGGGGGAGTTGAAATGGTTCGCGACTGGGAGGTGCAGTTGTTTAGGTGCAGAGTTGCTGGGATGGATTGTGAGCAGCCCTGAGGCACTATCATCCTGCATGGCCAGCGAGAATAATACCTATTGTGGTAATTCTAGGGTGATTAGCCTAACATCTATTTTTTGAAATCAATTATCAAAGAAATAATATCAAGCAGAGTCAGCAAGTCTTCATGAGACAGAAATTGTGTCTGACTAATTTATTAGAGTTTTTCGAGGCCGTCTCAACCAGAGTGGATACAGGGTAACCTGTAGCTGTGTTTTAATTTGGGCTTCCAGAAGGCATTCAACAAGGTACCCTTAACAACAGGTCAAGTCATAAGAACCCATGGTGCTATAATGGCATGGATAAACAATTGGCTAAGGCAGGACACAGAGTGAGGATAAGGGGTTCTTTTTCAGATTGGAAACCTGTGACCAGTGAGATTCCACAGGGATTAATGCTGGGAGCACAACTGTTCACAGTATATATTAATGACTTGGAGGAAGGAAGTCAATGTACTGTAGTCAAATGTGCAGATAACACAAAAAGGTGGAAGGGCAAATTGCAAGGGATACAGACAGTTCACGGATATCAATAGGTTATGTGAATGTGCAAAGTGGGAAAATGTGAAGTTGTTCACTTTGGAAAGGAGAAAATAAAAAAAAGTTATTTAAGTACAGAAAAACTGGAGAAAGCTAGCACCTAGGGTGCAGCAGGTAATCAGGAAAGCTAATGGAATGTTAGCCCTTATTTCAAGAGGGTTGGAGTATAAAAATAGGAAAGTCTTACTGCGATTGTACAAGGTGATGGTGAGACCATATCCACAGTATTGAAGACAGAGACAACAAGGTGCAGGGCTGGATGAACACAGCAGGCCAAGCAGCATTGAAAGCAGTTTTGTTCCCCTTATCTAAGGGGAGATATTATGTCATTGAAGGCAGTTCAGAGAAGGTTCACTAAGATGGAGACATTGTCTTATGAGCAAATGCTAAACAGGTTGGGACCCTACTCATTGGAATTTAGAAAAATGAGAGGTGATCTCATTGAAACATATAGGATTCTTTAGGGGCTCGACAAGGTAAATGCTGAGAAATATTTTCCTTTCTGGGACTGTCTAGGACCAGAAGGCAGTCTCAGAATAAAAGAAGTGGCAATTTATAATTGAGATAAGGAAGACATCTCTCAGACGGTTGAGTGTCTTTGCAACTCCTTTCCAGAGAGCTGCTGGGGTAGAGTCCTTATGTATATTAATGACTGAGACTCTCTAAGTCGGGGAATCAAGGATTACGGAGAAATGACAGGAAAATGGACATTTGGAATGTCAGATCAGCCATGATCCTACTGAATTGGCAGACAAAAGGTGTTGAACAACCCACTCCCATTCATTTTTTTTATGGTTTTAAAGTAATTATTGGTAACTTGACCAGGTTACTTAGGTGGAGGCATGGATAGGGTGGATAATTGGAGTCTTTCTCCCCACGGTGGAAATGTCTAGAGGGGATAGGTTTAAGGTAAGAGGAGGAAGTTTAAAGGAGATGTGCAAGGTAAGTATTTTTTTTTAAACAAAGGGGATGGTAGGTGCCTGGAACATGCTACCAGGGGAGGTAGGAGTAGTTACGATAGCCAAGTTTGAGGCATTTAGATAGCTATATGAACAGGCAGCTAACAGAGGGAATACAGATTACATACAGGCAGATAGGATTAGTTTAGAAATGCATCATGGTCATTGCATGATGGGTTGGAGGGCCTGTTCCTGTGCTGTTCTATTAAATGTAGGTGTATCAGGGCAAAGGCAGGATGAATCAGCACACAGCAAGGAAGGGCAACCTGGCACACAAACAGGAGATTAATTGAGCCTACTACACTCCAGGGAGAAAAGTTCAGTCTATCCAGCCTCTCCTTATAACTCAAGCCCTCCAGTCTCGGTAACATCCTCGTAAATCTTTTTTGCACTCTTTCCAGTTTAATAACAGCCTTCCTATAGCAAGGCAACCAGAATTTAGGCATTACTCTAAATAGGGCCTTACCAAAGTCTTGTACAACCATAACATGATGTCCCAAATCCTGTCCTCAATGCTCTGACTGATGAAGGAAAGTGTGCCAAAACCTTCTTCACCAGCTTGTGTGCTGTGATGCCACTTTCTAGCTGGTTGATCACTGTTCACTCCTTGTTTGCAGGTCTGTGATGAAATCTTTATATCTAATATAGTAACATTCAGAGACTGCTTCTGCCTCAGCTTCAGTGTGAGCAGTCTGAGCTAGTGTTTGTCACAGTCAGTCAGATTGTTGGCTGCCTCAGAGGAAGCTCTATTCATTGCCTCCTTGGGATCTTCATAGATTCCCAGAAAAAGTGTTCCAGATAACCAGCCTGAGAGTCTTCAGTTTGCACTGCCACCTCAGTCTCTTTTCAGCTTGTCTGACTGTGGTCACAAGGTTCATGACCAGAGAAAATACCAGGTACGTTCTCCTACAGCTGTTTGGTCGACTGGACCTCAACAGGCTCCTTTGAGACTGGGGATGTTACTATCTTTGATACCACCAGGTTATTTCCAAGGAGTGGATCAATCACATCCACAGGAAAATGGAAGATGATTCCCACAGACATGTGTACTGAGGTGAGATTGCACTCGAGCTACACCCAGTGGAGGCACATGTTTAATTCTTCATGGCATATAGGCATCTCTGGTTGATCCAGTATTATTGCCTGGACCCAGTTGCCCTTCAGAAGGTGGTGGTGAGCTGCCTTCTTGAACCGCTGCAGTCCACCTGCTGTGGGGCAACCAACAATGCCCTTAGGAAGGGAATTCCAGGATTTTGAACCAGCAACACTGAAGGAACAGCGATATATTTCTAAGTCAGAGTAGGGACTGGCTTCAATGGAAACTTGCAGGGTGATTGTGTTCCGATGTATCTGCCACCCCCTGTCTTTCAAGAAGGAAGCAGTTGTAGGTTTGAATGTGCTGTCTAAGAGACTTTGTGAATTTCTGTAGTGCATCTTGTAGATGGTGTACACCGATAGTAGGTGCATCTGTGCAGTTAGTGGAGGGAGTGGATATTTGTGGATAAGGTGCCAATCAAGTGGCTGCTTTGTCCTTGTTGGTGCCAAACTTCTTGAGTGTTGTTGGAGCTGCACTCATCCAGGCAAGTGGGGAGTATTCTATCACACTCCTGACTTGTGCCTTGTAGATGGTAGATAGGCTTTAGAGAGTCAGGAGGCAAGTTACTCGCTGCAGTATTCCTAGCCTCTGACCTGCTCTTGTAGTCACTGTACAAATGAGGTAAGGGTCCTCAATTTGTTATGATTCTGGGTTTGATTTGCTTCAATGATATTCATAATCCTAAGCAGGTAAACAATTGTCCTGTACTGTCAGCAGTTAACTCAGCACAATAAACCTCAAAATACCAGCAGCATTTGTAAATAAAGAAATACACATGTCCAAACAAAAAGCAATAAACTATACATCAGAAACAAGCAGCAAATTATGGAAGACTCATGATTAGTTAACAAATATATTATTAAGGGTAAGTGAATATTTCAGCTCTGACAAGAAGCTGTTTCTGATAAGTTAATAGGGATTTGCTCTTTCCATGGATGTTGGCTACTCCACTGAATATTTCTAGAATTTTCTATTTGTGCCCTGGTATTGTATTGGGAACTATGGAGTAAAGCATGGGTTAGAATAAAAAACACAAGTACATAGTTTATTATTTTATTTTATTGGTAGTGTTTTAAATGCAGCAATACATTCTTGAGACCATCAGAATGTTACTGTTTACAAAAGAAATGATGGATCATATTTATTGGCATTGAAACAGAATCCAAGTGGGAAGGTCGAGTTAATCCCTACAGCTTAAACAAGGATTTTGATCAACAGTAATTTTCCAGAGTAACTGTAATACAAAATTTAAAATGTGTTTAATATCTTTAAGCATATCAGCAGGTACTTGCAGTGATGGCACTGTACACATCTTAGTGAATAAACATAGCCTGATACACCTTTTTAATGTTAACAAACTTACTGATATTGATATAATGCAAATAACATGGAGATTTTCAGAAGTATATGGTGCTAATATATTAGTAAATGGCTTAGAATCCC